ATCCATTGTGTCAAGCACATTTGTACATTTGTTGCCATCATCATTTTCAAAACATTTTCTTTCTACTTGAGCTCTTGGTATCAGCTCATTTTTCCCCTGCCTCTCACACCCTCCCTCCTTCACGAACCCTTGATAATTTATAAATTATTATTATTTCATGTCTTACAATGACCGAGGTCTCCCTTAACCCACTATTCTGTTGTCCACCCCCCACGGAGGGGGTTATACGTAGATCATTTTGATAGGTTCTCGCCTTCTCCCCCAACCTTCCCCTCCCCTCCTGGTATCGCTACTCTCATTATTGATCCAGAAGGGTTTATCTGTCCTGGGTTCCCTGTGTTTCCAGCTCTCATCTGTATCAGTGTACATCCTGTAAGGTAGAATTGTAAGGTAGATTTGTAAGGTAGAATTGGTATCAAGATAGTGGCGGAGAGGAAGCATTAAAGAACTAGAGGAAAGCTGTATGTTTCATCGGTGCTATACTGCACCCTGATTGACTCAACTCTTCCTTGTGACCTTTCTGTAAGGGGATGTCCAATAGTCTACACTTCCCCTCATTCACACTGATATTATTTTTTGTTCTGGGTCTTTGATGCTTGATACCTGATCCCATCGACACCTCATGATCACACAAGCTGGCGAGCTTCTTCCATGTGGATTTGTTGCTTGTCAGCTAGATGGGATGTTTTCTTAATGTACAATTACTCCTTAATATACAATTCTTTTTTACATACATATGAGTGCCTATGATTTGGTCTCCAGTTAACCCATACTAGCACACATGGATTACACTCAATATAAAGAAAGTAAAACTCCTCACAACTGGATCAATAAGCAACATCATGGTAAATGGAGAAAAGATTAATTTTTGTGTTTAATAAAGGTTTCTATGATTTTTTTAAATTACTTTTGACTTACTCTTATATTCTTATTCATATCATTTAAAAGGTAGCACAAAAATCTAAATTTCTCAGAGAATGTTAAACACTTAAGAACATACCCCTGGAATCTCAGTCCAGAGAGAAGTTTGACCACTCTTTATCTTTTTAAATCCTCCTTTCTTTACAAATGCTTTCCTCTTTGCCTGCCAACACTATCTTAAGAGAGAGAAAATTTTTTTCCTCTGGTCCCCTGGCATCCCTCAAGGTATTTCTTCTCCTTTCCTTTACTGAATTAAGACCCCTTTGTTCAGTTACACAGTTTTGGAACTAACATTTGCATTAACCCCTGAATAGGAGAATGTTTCTGCCTTTATATCTATGGTTTATTGAAGCCAAGTCAGTAAACTGATAAATACATATAACAGAAACAGTATGTTTGATGTGCCTGAGAGAATTAGTAGTGAAGAAGTCAGGGTAATCAATAATAGTACTGACTGTTACAAGCTCATCACAACTAGTGAAAGAATTTTTCATTTTCTAAAGAAAAATACTTGTATAGTTCTGAATATCTAGGAGGTCTGGAGTATATTTTTCAAAAGCACAGGCTTAAATGTACTGAGCCTGATTATTCATGAAGAGAAAGTGACAAGGAGTTTGGACAAAAAAAGGCAAGAGTCTGTCTTCCTACCAAAACCCCAGAAGAACCACATTTCTGATGCTAGGGGATAGCAGCAGTAGTAGACACACAACATAGGGTCCAAAACTTATTTGACCCCACACTTCCTTTTCAGGAAAAAAAAAAATTACTCAGAGCCGCTGATTAAAACCTTTTGTACTACAGCCCATCGTCCAGGATGAAATGTAGGTATCTGCTTTTACAGCCCCTTTGCACTATTCCAGCGCCCATCAGAGGGCAGTATCGCCCACTTTGGGAAACAATGAGCTATATCAATCTCAGACGATTCATATCTGCAAACTGGTGGGGTTATAAAGAGACTGGAAATGCAATGGAGATGAAAATGTACTTACTTGATACAGAAACCAAGCTCAAAAAATGCTACAGGGATACAAAATTTTAAAAAAAAACAGTTGCCATGGAGTCAATTCCACATGCATGTGCCAGAGCAGAACTGCACAGTGTTTTCAATGGCTGTGACTTCAGAAGGAGGTGACCAGGGCTTTCCTTCAAGACATCAATGGGTCAAATTGAACCATCAACCTTTCAGTTAGTATCCATGCGCATTTTTTATGCTACCTAGGGATTTAATATTATAAATTGCTGTTAATCTGCTAAAGTTTAGTGATAATATTGTGGCTGTGTATTATAAGAAATACATGCTGAAATATGTAGGCATGCGATGGTATGATATCTGCAACTTCAAATTTTCAAATGACCCAACAAAAAGTGTGTGTGTGTGTGTGTGTGTGTGTGTGTGAAAGAGAGGAGTAAGGGGGAGGCAGAGAGAAAATATGACAATTAAATACTAATAATCATTGAATTTACTATTTTAATTGGACTATTTTTTCAACTTCTCTATATGAAAACTTTCAAAATAAAAAGATGAATAAACTAGGGCACAGACTTGGACCTCACTTCAGAGTGGATTAGAGCTAAAATTTAAAGGATGTCAAAAGGTGAGTGCTTTTAAAAAGTGACTGTATACTATATAGGTCTCTTATCTCCAACGACACAATTTTCTATACATTCCCTCCTCCCACCCAGCAATCCATGATAGAAAGTAAGGTACTTCTTACAAAGCTTTCCCCCAATTAACCTCATTCCTAGATTGAAAGGCAGGAGGGTATCAGGAGGCTGGCACCTGTTCCCCAGCCCAGTGAATGTACTAATCAGAGAAGAGATTAAGAGATTAAAAATTGGACAAATTAACTCCTTCTTCTGTTTCTCTTATTAAGTCTTACCACCTTTCTCTTATTTAGCAGGGAAGGGAATGAAAAATCATGGAACACAAATAAGGCCCAAAATAAAATGAAGGTGTTACATTACATTGTAAATACTACAATATTATTCTCTGGTGAAGAGATTAGCTATCAGGGTAGAAAGAAAATGGGTATACCATCTCAGGCTAGCAGTAAAGAAGAGAGTCTGAGAAAAGAAGAAATTCCCCTGAAGAGGATGAAGGAAGAGGAAGATGGGATCCAGGAAAAGAAGGAAAAAGAAGGCTAATCAGTAAACTGCTTGGCCCAACACTGTCCCTTAGAAGTCTCCTAAACTGATGTGCCAGTTCCAAAAGTCCTTCTCAAACGTGGGAACACAGAGCATTCCAAACAGACAACTCCATTTTCTATTTGTACTGTAACAAATTACCACAGATGTGATGGCTTAAACAAGGTAACAGCCATTCATCGGTAAAACTTATTGAGAAGTTCGAGAAATATTCTTCAAATTAACTAAGCAGTGAAAGGGTTAAGAGCTTAAAGGCTCTTAGTTGATCCGCACTAGTAGCTTAGGGAGGACCATCACTCTTCCAGACTCCCAACAGATGGAGCTCTCTCCTGGAGTCTGTTTATTCAACCAGAAAATGAAGAAATGTAATTTGAAAATATAGTTGTAATGATGCCTTTCAAAAGCCCAAATAAACAAACATCTGTGATACTTTTTCTTTTAATTACCTAAAATAACAATGATCTCTTACAAATACAAAAAGAACCATAATCCTTAGGTTAATTCAACAATAGAGGATTAAGGAGAGGTGTATTTGTTAAATGCTTTTTCCTATAATAGTTGTGTATTTGTTAAATGCTTTTTCTCTATCTTGATCATGTAAATCTAACTAACTGGAAGTTACACCATGGGTTATAATGAATTAGTCATTTTAAATCCACCCCTTAATAATAGAAACATACTTGGGGGGATTGAAATTAAATCTTTAAACACAACATATTTTGGCACTTGATGAAAAGACCACATTAAACCAAAGAGTTTACAATGAACACTCTTAAAGTATGAAGTATGAAATTATTTAGTTATCATTAAAAGTAAATCATAACCAAAAAATTTAAACTGTCAACAATCTAACTGTATTATATTAACAACATCCAAATGCAACATATTTAGTCTTGGAAATAAGCAATGTAAAGACTACACTAACCTTATTGGTCAGAGGTAACTGACCATTAAAGCAGTCTTACCTGTCTGAAGTGGACCTAATGCTGGCATCAGAGATGATTCAGGAAAACATTTTCCACTGCGAGTATCCTTGTGATTCATTTCTCTTGTAGTCTCTTTAGCATGCAGAAGACTTAAATTACCAGTTCTGAAATCATTTTCTGACTTATTTGCAGCAACCTAAAAACACAAAACATAAATTTCAAGCAGAAGTTCAATCTAACTTCTATATTTTCACACAATAGATTCTTTTATTTAAAACAAGATTCATCTAAATTATAAACTACTAGTTACTCTCTAAATAGCAAATATATAAAAGTAGATTTAAAATGCAACTTTCATTGGTTGTGTATTTTAAGTTGGTTTAGTTGTGTTTTAAACACTGTAAGGCATGACAGAATGAAAAGTATATTTATAATTAATGTGTAATTAAAATGACGTTATCAGAAAAGTTTCTAAACATGTCACAATGTGTCATTCTCATATCCAGCTGCTCTTTTTCCTTGATAATTTCTCAATATAAAATTAACACTTAAATAATGCTAATGTTTTGGGTGTGATAATGGTGCTACCATTATGTTTTAATTTTTTAAAGAGCCCTTATCTCTTAAAGACATATACTAAAATATTTAAAAATGAAAAGGTACGACTCAGATCTGTATCACAATAACATGTAGGGAAGGGACTGGAGAGGAGCTGAAGCAAGATGGGGCATGAGGTGACACCTGTGGGAGCGAGGAAGAAGGATAGATGCGGGCAGTCCACAGACTCTGCTTTTGTGTGTTTTGTATTACTCCTGTAACAAACCATCACAGACTTAGTGGGTGGGTCAAGACCACATAAATACATCAATTTGTAGGTTAGAATTCTATAGGTTAGAAGCCTAATAAGGGTCTCACTGGGTTAAAATCCAGGTAACAGCAAAGGTGTGTTTAGAGACCAATATTATTCAATGTTTTATAATCTATTAGCATATTTATAGTGATGAGCAATTGGGCCAAAATTTTGCTCCTTGTATTTTCAGGCCAATATAACAAAAAAGCTGATTCTGACATATTTACCAAGGAAAATATTGTTTTGAAGCATCTGCTTCTGTTAATTTATTGGCCTGATAAATACAAGTAGCAAAACCCAATTTGAATATCAAAGCAATAGATTATAACTTATTGAATAATATAGCCACTTCCTAATATAAATTAACTCAATCTAAGATGAGAAATAATTTTAAGAAAAAAATTTCAAAAATGAAGTAGATAAGAGGAAGATGTAGTTTAACTGATAGCACAATACATCTAGATTTGTCGTGTTTCCTTCCTTAAAATAGTTATATGACCTCCAAATGAAGCTAAGCATGATAGTGGGACAAGAGGTGGGAGATGTGCCCTCGAGGTGGCTGTGAGAGGGAAGTTCTGACTCAGCCCACGAGGTGAAGTGGTTAAGTTGTGGGCCCTCCAGTCACACATACTGGCTTTATCCAGCTTTGTCTCCTCTGCAGAGGACTAACACATAATGGACTCACCACCATGATCAGTGTATCAATAGCTGTTACGATTTCTAAGGCCATATTTTCTGAATTAATTTAAAAATCAAAAACAAAACAAATGGATAGTCTGCAAAGCGGAGGGTGGGGGAACTCCTACATTTTCAGGTAACTCCAACTTTTGCATAATGATCTGGTCTTTAGAACTTACCCTTGTCCCAAAGTAAAGAGCGGGTGTATATGTTTTCTCTTTAAACCACCACATATGAAGAAGTTTCCACTTATTATTTGGTAACTTTAAGAAGAGTATTATTTGGGAGGGGGGAGCGGGGAGGGAGGGGAAAAATGAGGACCTAACGTCGGGGGTTTAAGTGGAGAGAAAATGTTTTGAGAATGATGTACAAATGCGCTTTACACAATTGATGTGTGTATGGATTGCGATAACAGTTGTATGAGCCCCTAATAAAATGTTTAAAAAATAAATAAGAGAGAATAATTACAAAAAAAAGAAGAGTATTATTTAAAAAGCTCTAAAACCAGATAATAGTGACGGCTGCACAATACTGAGAGTACTTCATATCACTAAAGTGACAATCTAAAATAGTCAAAATGATACATTTTTGTACATGTATTTTTACTAGTTGTTCATCTAAAAAAAGGAGGTACTATAACTGATTCCATTTATAGTAATCTATCCTAAAGATTTAATTTTAAAAGGATCAGCCAAAGACCTATGTAATAAGATGTTCTGATAATATAATCTAAAATGGGTGATAAAACTATAAACAGCATAAAGACTCAATAGTAGGTTAGTTAACTATGATACAAAAAAGTCCAAACTCACTGCCACTGAGTCAGTTCTAATTCAGAGTGACCGTAAAGGGCAGAGTAGGAAGAGTTTCTAGACTACATCTTTACAAGGGCAGATAGTCTCAATCATTCTCCTAAGCAGCGGCTGGTGGGTTACCAACCAAGCACTATTCCACAGCAGCACCAAGGCTCCTTAAAATATGATACACTCAAAAAAAAAGAAAATTTATCTACAAGGATTCTGGCCCCTTCCCTCACTTCAAAAACCAACAACCAAACTCATTGCCATTGTGCTAATTCTGACTCATAGAGAGCTATAGTATAAGACAGAACTGCCCTTGAGGATTTCTGAGGCTGTAACTCTTTGCAGGTAGACAGTCATACCTGAGCAGCTGGTGGTTTCGAACTGCTGACCTTGGGGCTAGCAGTCCAACATGTAACTACCAGGGCTATTTATTTAGTTACCAAAAGTATAAGTAAGTCTAATTTATATACCCATCTGCAAGTCACTTATTAAAAATGTATTTCTTTAATCATTATTTCTAAGGATTAGAAGACTTTTTTAGACTACAGGTAGGTAAGTACTGTAACTCTTTCTATAGGTTTTGGGTTTTGTTTTGGTTTTTTGCCTAAATTTTATTTTGTGTTGTAGAGTACAAACGTGCAACAATTCAACAGTTTCTAAAACTACAATTTTATGACACTGATCACATTCTTCAAGTTGTTCAGCCTTTCTCAGCCTCCTTTTCTGGGTCGACTAAGAAACATACACTAACATACACTAACATACCTCCTCCACTAACATGCACTTACTGCTCCTTAAGGCTCTTATCTAATCTTGAGTTGCTCTTGTCAATCTGATGCCACATAGATATTTCTTAAAAGAGTAAAATGCTCACGGTGGGCACTTGACTAGTTAAACTAAATTCTTGTTTGGTTTTAAGGTGACTTCAGGGGATATTTTAGGACTAATGTTTAAAGATTACCTCAGGGCAATAGTTTCAGGGATTCATCCACGACTCCACAAAGTATAGAGTCCAGGGGGATTTGAAATTCTGTTCTGTACTTTCCCTCATTCAACCAAGTTTCTTACATAGAATTTTTTAAATCAAAATAGTCAACTCAAGTCCTCCCTCAATACAAGAACACTTTGTTTTAATAACCTGGCATTCTGTGATGCACACCTTCCCCTACACCATGGGGTCTTCAAACTTTTTAAACAGGGGGCCAGTTCACTGTCCCTCAGACCCATTGGAGGGCTGGACTATAGTTTTGAAAAAAACTATGAACAAATTCCTATGCACACTGCACATATCTTATTTTGAAGTAAAAAAACAAACAGACAAAAACACCCGGCGGGCCGGATAAATGTCCTCTGTGGGCCGCATGTGGCCCGTGGGCCGTAGTTTGAGGACGTCTGCGGCCTACATCATTGCTGAAGACAAAATGGGTGCGTAAAAATCCAGCTAGACTGGAGCATGTACACTGTTACAGATAATAGCTCTTGACACACAGAATCCAAAACAGATAGATTCATCAGGAACAGTATTGGGAATAATGATACCATGAGGGGGAGTGGGAAGGTAGGGGTTGAAGGGGGTGAAAGGGAAAACCAATCGTAATGATCACCGTATAACCCCCCCCTCACCCCAGGGGGACGAACAACAGAAACATGGGTGAAAGGCAACAGCAGACACTGTAAGATATGAAAATAATAATGATCTATAATTTATCAAGGGTTCATGAGGGTAAGAGGGTGGGGAGGGGTTGTGAAAAAAGAGGAACAGATACCAAGGAAAAGAAAGAAAGAAAATGATGGCAACATATGTACAAATGTGCTTGATACAATTGATGTATGGATTGTTATAAAAGCTGCAAGAGCCCCCAATAAAATGATTTAAAAAGAGAGTTAGTCACAGAAACCCAAAGGGGCAGTTCTATCCTCTCCTATTGCGTCACTATGAGTCAGAATTGACTAAAACAGTGAGTTTCGTTTTTTGGAGGTGTGTGTGGTGGGGGGTGTGATGGCCACTTATAAGGTTTTAAGACCAGCTACTAAGCAGTGAACTAGGAAATTGAACAGAAGAGCTAAACACATTATTGGGCCAATTAACTAGATGCCCATAAAACCATGATGCTAAACCTCCAAACCAAGGAACCAAATTTCATGAGGTTTGGTTGTACATAATCGGCTACTCTTTTTCTTTGCTCTCTTGGTCATTGTAAATATATCACATTACTCTTGCTAAATTCTACAGGTATACAACTTATTGACAGCAATTGTAATAATCAGCTGGGCAACCCTACCCTCAATGTGATTTCTCCATCACTACTCATCCCATTTTCTCCCTCTCTCCCTCCGTCCCTCCCACATTTGATAACTACTAATAAGCTTTGGTCTCTACACATTTGCCTTTTCTTGAGTCATCTAATAATTTTCCTTTGGTGACTGGCTTCTTTCACACAACATAACGTCTTCCAGCTCCATCTATACTGGAGTATATATAAAGCCTTCATTTTTCCTTCTGGCTGAGTAGTACTCCATTGTATATATACCACATTTTGTTTATTAATGCATCTGTCAATGACATGTAAGCTGTTTCCACCTTGTGGTTATTATAAACAGTACTGCAATGAACATTAGTGAATGTCTCTCTGTTTTTTTTACAAATCATTTTGGAGGCTCATACAACTCTATCACAATCCATACAGACATCCATTGTGTCAATATGTCTCTCTTTTGATTGTCTCCTTTCAATGCTTTTGGGTCGATACCTAGAAGGGGATTGCTGGGTTACAGGGTGGTTCTAGTTTTAGTTTTCTGAAGAACCACCACGCTGTTTTCTACGACAGCTGTCTCATTTCACATGCCACCAGCAATAAATAGACAAGGGTCAAAAAAATTTTTTTTACCTCATATAATTTTGTATCTGGACTCAGCTTTGTAATCTCTCCATTCGGGTTTGGATTACTTCTGCCTGGTGGTATAAATTTTGGTTTTTTCGAGGGATTCCCCTGCAACTGACTTGGTGCTACAGATCGTCTCATAGTTAGCAGCACTGACCTGGAAATTTTTAAAAAATAAATCATTAATTCATTTGTTGAGAACTGTGCTCAAAAATAAAAATAGCTCATCACAACAACCACAACATCAAATATATATATATATATGAATAAGCCTCAGAAAGCATGGTCGTCAGGAAAATTTATATGATTGAAACTTAATTCAATTTCACATATAAACTAGAGCACATATGTCAACTTAGATCATATTAAGGACATTATAGTATCATGCTATAGGCAAAATTTTTAAAATCTAAGGAAACATAATTATTCTCAAACATCTATCAAGCATGCTATTTATTTCCATCCCACTAACCCACAAGCAGCATCAACCACACCACCCAATACATTATAATCACCAACAAATATTTTTTAAATGCATGTTTGAGATTTTAGCAAATCAAAGAGCACATTTATAATTCAATTCTTTAAATCATTTTATTAGGGGCTCATACAACTCTTATCACAATCCATACATACATCAATTGTGTAAAGCACATTTGCACATTCATTGCCCTCATCATTCTCAAAACATTTGCTTTCCACCTAAGCCCCTGGCATCAGCTCATTTTTGCCCCTCCCTCATGAACCCTTGATAATTTATAAATTATTATTTTGTCATATCTTGCACAGTCCGACGTCTCCTATCACCCACTTTTCTGTTGTCCGTTCCCCAGGGAGGAGGTTATATGTAGATCCTTGTAATCGGTTCCCCCTCAATTTATTTCTTACTACCCTATTTCCTTCCAAAAGAGTACAATTGTTTTATATAAATGCAAAGACCAGAACCAGGTTTCTAGCCTTTTTCACAGTATTATTTCCACTACGACTATGCAGGAAAGACAGAAACCTAAATGTCCATAAGGGGGTGCTACTGAAATAAATCACGGTAGACCCATGAAACACAATACACTCTCTTCATCCACCATGAAAGCCTGTGCTCTGTACAACAGCTCCAGCATGACCAGGTTCTCTGCTTCCGTAGGCCTTGGGACAACTGTCCCCTCTACAGTGTTGGGAATGCAAATACCCTGTTTTCTTTGCCTGATGACTTCTACCTTACACAAGAGCTCACCCCACATCCTCCCAAAGACAAGTTTAGGGGCCCTTCCTATGCACAACTCAAACACATTCATACTGTAATAAAATTGCCTATTGATTCTCCCAAGCTGAAAACCCCTAAATCAAACATAAACACTTATATTCCATTCATCACAATATTGCTAGTACCAAAACATAGAAGGCATTCAATACTTATTATGTGAATGATTCTGTAGCCATTAAAAACTCCTGTGGAGAATGTTTAATGACATGGAAATGGGAAAATAATGACATGAGCAATTATTCCTCATATGTCAAATAAAAATGAATGCCAAATATGCTCAGCATCTCCCAATTTTATTTAAAAAGGACAAAAAGCAAAAACAGTACATATACATTTGTCAAAAGTCATCTAGTGTACAAAAGTATATAGAAGTAATTAATACTTCTTTAAAGTGGTATACATCCAGTATGTAGAAGTAATTAATACTTCTATAAGGTAGATCTTTTTTTAAAAGGCTAGAAAGACACATGCCATTAATTTAACTTTGATCCTCTCTGAATGTTAGAATTACCAGAAATTTCAATTTTCTGCTGATTTATTTTCTATGTATTTCATATTTTTTCTTTTTTTGGTATTTCATATTTTCTACAATGGAAATGTTGCCTTTATAATAAAGGGAAGTACCATTTACATTTTTAAAAGACGATTTTCCCCCTTTAATGATTTATTTCAACAAATCTAAGACGCCAAAAATTATAAAACTTACCATCATATCATGTATCCAATAAAGAAAAAAAGAAATGCAGCCATTTAATCTGTGATATCACATTGGCATCTGGATATTTCTAAATTTCATAGATATTAAAATGATGAAATGTGTGTCTAATAATTAATAGACCTAATATAGTTTGAGAGATTAATAGTAAAAGATTATCTCTATTGTTTCTTATTCAAGGGGAAATAGATCCCTGTTAGTACTAACTTGGAACAAATTATGAAATACAGAGTTCACACCTAGTTTAGAAATAATATTCACCAAATTTAATTGTAAGAAAAAAATAAATCATGCCAAAATAAACTCATTAACCTAATTTTCTTTTTGTAATAGCTCAGTATAGTAGATATGTAAATGACCCAAATTTAAAACCGACATATTAACTGCAGCAAAGAATCCTAGTCACCCAGTGATTAAACATTCAACTGCTAAGCAAAAGATCAGAGGTTCAAACCCACTAGCCACTTTGCTTTGCATGAGAGATGTGGCAGTCTGCTACTGCAAGGATTCACAACCTTGGAAACATTATAGGGGCATTCTACTCCGTCCTAAAGGATTGTTATGAATTGGAATCAACCCTACAGCAATGGGCTTGGGTTTGTTGGCTTTTAACAACAGCAAGATTCATGTAAAGAAGGCATTGTTAAGCCCTGTATTTACACTTAGTTGTTCATTAATCAAGCAAAATAGAACAAGGGTCAGTTCAGATGAAAGATTTCAGATTTTCAATTAACTGTAATTCAACTTAAATGATTTATTTTTGTTGACAGGTGCCAACCCTATTACAACAGAACGTATTTACACCATCCTCACAATTGTTATGCTTGAACCCACTGTTGCAGCCACTGTGTCAATTTATCTCTCGAAGGGTCTTCTCTCTCACTGTCCTTCTACTTTACCAAGCATGATGGCTTTTTCCAGGGACTGTTCTCTCCTGATAGCATGTTCGAAGCACTTGAGACAAAGTTGCCATTGTTCCAAGGCAGATGTTTGTTTTAGCACTCCATGGTACTTTCACTATCCTTCACCAACACAATTCAAATGCATCCATTATTCTCCAGTCTTCCTTATTTATGATCCAACATTCACTTCCAGTGAAAATACCTCCGGTTGGGTCAGGCACACCTTACTCCCTCAAAATGACAACTTTTCTCTTTAACACTCTAAATAGGTTGTATGCAACAGATTTTCCCAGTGCAATATGCATAGTTTCATTTCTTGTCTGCTACTTCCATTAGCACTGATTATGGATTCAAATAAAACTAAATCCTTAAATGATGTTTTCTACTGGTCCAATTGTGAGATGTTTCATTTCTTTACATTATGTTGTAATTCACACTAAAGACTATAGTCTGAATTTCATCACTATCGATTTCAAATCCTCTTTACTTTCAGCAAGCAGGGTTGTATCTTTCTATGTATCCACTGGTTGTTGACAAGCAGTCCTCGAATTCTGATGCCATGTTCTCCTTCATATAATCCATCTTCTCTAATTACTTAGTGACCTTTTGCTTTCTTCATATATGACATTTTTTATGTCATTCCACAACTCATCTGGTCTTCACTCATGAGTGTTTGATGTAGCATATCTATTCCTAAGACGGTGGGAGCTATACTCAAGAAAGAGAAAGCCCTGCTGCCATAGTGAGTTACATGTTGGGCTGCTCACAAGGTCAGCAGCAGTTCGAAACCACCAGCTGCTCCACGGGTGAAAGATGAGGCTTTCTACTCCTATAAAGATGTAGTCTCAAGGGAAAGAGAGGGAGGCAGGGGGGAAAAAAAAGATTTAGTCTCAGAAACCCACAGGGGCAGTTCTACCCTATAGGTTCACTATGAGTCAGAATTTAATTGATGGCAGTGAGTCTGGTTTTGGGTTCTATTCAAGGTTGTCTTTTGGCTTTCGTGGACTTTTAATTTTCTTCAGCTTCAACCTGAACGTACACATAAGCAACTGATGATCTGTTCCAGTCATTCCCTGGCCTTTTTTAGTTGATAACATCTCCACTGTGTATTCCCATCTGTTATATAAATGCTGTTTTTATTTTGTCTTATCAAAGTATTTGCAATGAATTCATTAGTTTTGCAAAATTCTGTTATGCAACCTGCAGCTTTGTTTCTATCACCAAGGCCATATTGTCCAATTGCTGAGCCTTCTTTGTTTCTAATTTTCACATTCCAATCACTATCGTTGCACCTTGATTATATGTTTGATCAGCTTCTGACTGAATTTTGTAAAAAGTTTTTTCATCACTAACTTTGTTAGTGAGCAAATTTTAATAACAACTGTATTAACTGGTCCTCCTTGTAGGCATATAGATATTATCCCACCAGACATGATAGGATAAAAGATCGATCTTGAAGTATTCTTTTTGATGGTGAATGTAGCAGCACTCCTCTTGAATTTGTCACTCCTGGCTTAGTAAGCCATGATTGTAGATTCAAAATGGTCAATACTGGTCCATTTCAGCTGAACTAATGCCTAGGATATTGATCTTCATGCTTTCATTTCATTTCTGATGGCTTCCAATTTTCCTAGATTCATATTTCATATATTAATTTCCATATCATTAATGAATGTTTTTTCAGCTGTTTCTTCTCATTTTGAGTTATTCTCCATCAGCAAATGAAGGTCCCAAAATCTTTGCTCCATCCACATCATTAAAGCCAACCCCACCTTGAAGAGGCAACTGTTCCCTCGTATTTTGAAGGCCTTCCAACCTAGGAGCTCATCTTCCAGTACAATTATCAGACAATGTTCTTCTTCTATTCTTAAGGTGTTCAGTGGTTAATTTTTCAGAATTTACCACCTCTTCCTTCTTCCTAGTCTGTCTGAAAATTTCACTGACACCTGTTCATCATGGACGACCATGCTAGCATTTAAAATACCAGTGGCAAAGCTTCCAGCATCACAGCAACAAGCAAGCCGCCACAGGACCATAAACTAATAGATGAGTAAAGCATAAATCCTAGAGAGCAATAAAGATATGATGTCCATCTCATGAATTATATAATAAGTTCCATATTTGCACTGGTCAGATCACCATGAAATTTTTGGTTCACATTTTTTAAAAATACTTGAAGAAACAGAGCAGCTAGAAAATTCAATATTAGATTTGTCAACCTGAATTTAGTTCTGATTCTGCTGCCTGAGGGATACTTAACTGTCAGCAAGTTATTTAAATTTTGTGAACTTCAGTTTCCTTGTTGACAAAAGAGAACTGATTAAAAAGCTAAGATGTCTTTCAACACTAAATCACCACTTGTACTCCTACACTCATACCTAATATCTATTATTTCTACCTTCCATTTATCCTGTAAAGAATGAAAACTAATGAATTCAAGAATGGAGGCTTATGAACAGTACCCAGAACTCACTGCCATTAAGTCAATTCCAACTCACAGTGACCCCACAGGACAGAATAAAACTGCTCCTTTGAGTTTCGGAAGCTATGAATGTTTTCAGGAGCAGAAGCCTCATTTTTCTTCCTCAGAGCAGCTGGTGAGTTCAAACTGCAGATCTCTCAGGTAGCAGCCCAACACATAACCCACTACGCCAGTAAAGCGAAGTGACAGTAAGACAGGAGCCAGCCTACTTGGTCTTGAATCCTAGCTCAACCACTTTGACATCCATTCATCCCTTTTATTTTATTGGCACATATCAAAATGAACTGCACACATCAGTATTTTCCCCCTAAATACTTTAGCATCCTTATTGCCTTATTTAGAATATTGTGGTAAAATACAAGGGAGCTTCAAAAAGTTCATGGGATAATGGAAAAGATAAAATTTTCCTAAAAACTTTTTAAAGCCCTCGCATATGGACCACAAAAATGTTGCCATTTCGACCACTCTTAAGAGTACAATTCAATGACATTAATCATTCACTCTTAAAACACTCACTCCCATCAAGTTTATTCCAATTCATAGTGGCCGGTAAGACTGCTCGGGTGGGTTTCCAAGGCTATACATTTTTACAGGACCAGATAGCCTCATCTTTCTCCCACAGAGTGTCTGATGGTTTCCAACTGCTGACCTTCCCACCAGGGTTCTTCTTACTGCTTAGGCCCTTTTCCCAAGTACTAGAAATTGCTCATTTGGCAGCCCTATTGTCATACTACAACTTTTACACTAATGCACACCTGCTTCTGTCCCTGCAGGGAAATGGCAAGGCTAGGAAGGGTGCTAAAGTACTTGAAAAGCCAGTCGATACACAGCAGGACTTCAGAGGCAAATGCTGACACTTCAAGCATGTGATCTTGGGCAGTTTACTTCGCCTCTTTACATCTCAGTTTTCTCATCTTTAAGGGATTCAAGAGTCAACCTTACTCATGGTACTGCTGGAAGGTTTATGATATATATGTTATACATAAATAAAGCCCTTAGAAGAAATAGTAAGTATTCGATCTCATCTATAAAATTACAATCTAAATTAAAAAAATAAAAGCAATGTTGCAATTTTAAAAATACAATCAATAATTATGATTACTGGGTGTTTATTATATACGACACATGAGATTAAGACTCCAAAACTTCCTGCCATGAATGGATTCCAACTCATAACGACCTCACAGGGCAGGGTAGAACGGCCTCTGGGGACTTCCCAGGCTGTAACTCTTTATGAGTAGAGAGCCCCATCTTTCTACCAAGGAGCAGCTGGTGGTCTCGAACTATTGGCCTTGTGGTTACCAATCAAGTGTTAACTACTATGCCACCAGTATTAACTACTATGAAAGAATAGAGAGATGATGAATCCCCTGGGGATTGAAAGGCAGCTAGAGGACTTAGTTCAACAAAGGGGGCCCAAAACTGGCGGTTCACTTGGGCTTTAAGAGCCATGTGGGGAAGGGGCTAGAGGCACAATCTCACTCATAAAATGCTTGAAAGGAAACAAAACAATTCTACCTAAAATAGAAGCAGCCCTCCCTTTTGTTTCTTCATCAGGTAACTTTATTTGTTAGCTATTCACGTCAAGGCTTCAGTTGGACATGCTGGACACTGCCCTAGACACACTCTTGAGGGCCTCACCTCCAGGTCCCGGGCGGAAGCGACCCCGGGCGGGACTCCGGCCTCTCGCCGTCCGCACACCCACCGCGCAGGGGCAGTGGCGAGGCCGCCCAGCACGTCGGAGGGCGCCTCCCGGCGGGAGACCCGGCAGGACAGGCGGCAGCGCGCGTCTCTTCCTTTTTCCTGGGTGGCCGGGTCCCAGGGACTCTCGCCGGTGGTCACCTACAAGCCCACCGGCTGTCGCGGCCTCTCAAGCCCTCTTCCCAGAAGGCCAGCGTCCCGCGAAGCCCTCACAGAGTAAGAAGCCCGTCCCTCTGTCGCCGCCGGACGAGATCAAGGTTCCCGCCACGGCGCAGCCAACCGCAGCGAGCCTGCCGCGCGTGCGCACTACCCTCCGCTGCAGCGCCCTGCCCGCCCCCCCCTCCCCCCCCTCCCGGGACTGGAGGGCTTGGCTGCAGAGCTGCGCTGATGCTTTTGTCATTTGCTTTAAACCGGTCAAAGTCTGGTTTGGGTCTAAGGTTTAATTCTATAGGTATGTATTTGATGCCCACTCTACGTCAGGCATTCGTGAAAACGCTTAAATAGCAGGCGCCACAACATACTTGGACAAATAATTCTGATTCGGTGTGGTAAGGACAATAGGAAGGTGCGTTGCAGGAGTAGACTTGGATCCTATG